CAGCCCTGGCGCTGGTGAAGCCCTGCCAGGGTCTTTGGGATGAGCCATGGGGAGGAACAGCTCAGAGCATGCCCCCATGGACCCCTGTGCTGACCCACCACTGCCCACGGTGGGAGAATGGTAACGGCGCTCTCCGTATTCCTGTGGTACGGAGCCAGAGGTATCTGTGTGCTCAGGCCAAGAGCACCCGAACCCACCACAGAAATAGCTCGGGCAGCCTCCCCAGGTGCCATTTGAGCCCTGGCAGCCCTTGGTGCCCCAGGGACACCCCTTCTTCCCCAGCTGCCTCCCTCCTCCTCCTCCGCAGGGCAAAACCCAGCCCCACCAGCCCCTCGCAGGGGCTGATGCCCTCCGGGGCAGCGGGCAGAGGCAAGCGAGTCCCCTCTCCCTCCCTGGGGCGCAGAGCAGCCAGGCCAGGTGCCGGAGGTCACAGCATTTATTGGCTACCTATAAGTTAAGGGGGAGGGGCGTGGGGGCAGCAGGAGTCACGTCTCGGCTTTCCACCCCTTTTGCTTCTCATCCTTGGCCTGGATGCGGAGCTCCTCATCCAGCCGCTCCTTGGCTCTCACCACCTGCAGGACATGGGAACAGGGTGACACGGTGGGGCTGTCCCCTTCCCTCCCTGTCTCGTCCCCACTGATGCTCAGGCTCTGCTCTCCCAAATCCCAGGCAGGGGAAGGTACCGAGGGCAGGGCTGGGGGCCAGCGCAGCCCCCTCTCCTCTCTTCTCCTCCCTTTGCTCACCTTGGACTGCAGGTAGAAGGAGCCTCCCACTGACTTGTCGTTCACCTTGAACAAGTGGTCGTAGTTCTGCCGAAGAGAAGTTCCCTGTCAGATTTGGCCCCAAACCCCAGTGGCCTCCTGCTCCCTGAAGTGGTCCTGGGTGTGACGAGTGTGATCTCGGGGACACAGCATCTCTGTCCGACTCCCTGGTGGGTCCCCACACTCCCAGGGAAGCGCCTCTGGAGAGCCCGTGTCCCCCTCCCTGAGCAGCACTGCTGGGCAAATGCAGAGGCTGGGCCTGGCAAGGCTGCTAATGCCTGTGAGCTGCCAGCATCTCCTCCAGCTGGGGCAGGGAAACCTCAAAGTGGGGTTAACTGGACCCAGGACACTCCCTCCAGGGACCAGTCGTCACCCCCACACCAGGCAGCAGCCACGGGGAGAGCAGGACCCTGCCAGCACCATCTCTCCCCATCTCCAAGGGAGCCTCTACCTTCTGGATCTCCTCTGGGTTGAGGTTCGAGACGTTGAGGATCTGCTGAGCTTCTTGGAGGCTGATGCCGATGATCCTGGAGGCGGCGGCGGACTGGGCCCCCTCGCGCGTCTCCTGCCGCTCGGCTCGCTGCTCAGGGACACCAAGAGCGTGAGTTCCCCCTTCACACTGCCCCCCGGGGACCCCCAGGCCTCGGGTGAGAGCCGGGCAGCAAAGCCCGCAGGCTCAGAGGTGCTCACATCCCAGTTCCACCCCTCTGCCCTCCTCACGCTGCCTCCAGCCTGCGAGGGCCACCCAGACGAGGTCCCCAGCCCTGGGGAGGTGACAGGAACTGGTGGGACACCCGTATGCTGGCGGTGCCCACAGTGAAGTGGGCTGCAGGCAGGGCAGGCAGAGCAGGGCTGTGGAGGGACCATCCCTCTCTGCCCTGTGGGGCTGCCTGGCATGTCTTGGAGCCTGGCAGCA